GGTCGCTCAGGTAGACCTGACGGGCGCTGCGCAGCACCAGGGAGACCAGCAGGTTCTTGTGCAGCTTGATGCCGCCCCGCTGGACCCGCGAGTTGTAGATCTTGCCCAGCGAGATGCTGACGATTCGGTGCGCCTCCAGCTTGAACTCCATCCCGCCTGCCGACCCTTCTCCGGGGGACGGGCGCGGGGGTGACGGCTGAGCCCGGGCTCCCGGTCACACGCGGGGAGAGGAGTCGGAGGCCTCAGGAAGTCGGCCCCAGGGGTGGACCCTCGGTAACTGAAGACGACGCCGAGAGACCAATTTCGATGACGCGCTCACTGACCCCTACGTCCCCTCCAGTGCAGACAAACGCCCAGCCTCCCGTCCGGTCGCTAACTGAGGGCAGCCCTACCGCCCGGCGCTTTATATAAGCTCCCCGCCCGCCAATCGCGAAGGGCCGCCACGCCCTCACGAGCTGCGCGCGGCCAATCGGAGCCCGGGGAGGGGCGCCAGAGCCATTCGAACGTTAGTCCCGCGGAGCAGGCTCTTAAAGGGGACGCGGTGGGCAAGCGGCGAGAGACAGGCGGGGGGGGGGCCTGGGCTCAGAAAGTAGGTGATAGCGGAGGAGGCTTAGCCCCTGTATTGTTTGTAGGAAAAGGTTCTGGCTTGGGCGCTGGCTTGCCAGAACCAAAGCAAAACAAACCATTGGAACTTGCATCGTGCAGGTGGACTTTGCTCTGCAATCAAGTCCGGATCCTTGCCTCATCACCCCACGCCCCACCTCCATTTCCAAGGCGGCGCATCAGAAAGTAGGTGATAGCGGAGGAGGCTTAGCCCCTGTATTGTTTGTAGGAAAAGGTTCTGGCTTGGGCGCTGGCTTGCCAGAACCAAAGCAAAACAAACCATTGGAACTTGCATCGTGCAGGTGGACTTTGCTCTGCAATCAAGTCCGGATCCTTGCCTCATCACCCCACGCCCCACCTCCATTTCCAAGGCGGCGCACACCTGAAAGGCTCTGGTCACCCCTGGCAGAAGTGGAGATGACAGCAAAACGTGGCAAGGGATACCCTCGGATAACAACATAGTATTACTGCAAGGTATTTAGCAGATACTAATTTTGTGTGAGTCCCTTGCCCCCTAGAAAATACCTCTCTCTCTCTCTCTCTCTCTCTCTCTCTCTCTATCTATCTCTCGGTTCTAAAAGTTTCTACATTTTGGTTGCTTATCAAGAAATTGTGTCTAGGCACAAAGGCCAGCACCTATCACTTTGTTCTCTAGATTTAACAACAAGCACAGTTGTCACACAGGTTGCGATGGAAGGTGGTACAGATTCTCCACAATGATTTCTCTCCAGCAGGAGGGCTGACCAGCCACCCTTGGAAAAATCTAGCCAGTTCTAAGAATAGAAATAGAGAAGTCCTGTGTTCTCATCATGATGTCATAATTTTATTTTGTGCCAAGGTAAAAACATTGGGGAAGGGTGTTCCAGAATTTTCTGGTCAGTCAACCATCTACTGACCCTCAGTACATGACATTAGGGCAGAACCACCACAGGGTTGTCCAGGGTCCTGGACTGGGTTCCTGGAGAGTCAGTTCCCGTCAGTCCCACTTAAACCCCAGCACAGACCTGCCTGACAACTCTGGGTGCGTAACCTCCAGACACTTGAGTCTCTCCAACTCTAAAAGGGAGAATTCACATACACATCTGCTCTAGTATGCAGAACATGAATGACAGCTCAGCCACGATCTGAATCATGAAACTATGCACAGTTTTCTGGAAGTCTATGTGGAACAGTTAGCCTGAGTAGGATTTGGCCAACTGCTGTATAGTAAGTCCTCACGCAATGTCATTGACAGGTTTTGTGACTTTAAGTGAAATGATGTATAATGAAACCAATTTTTACCATAGGCTAACAGACATAAACAAGAGTAAAGTTCCTATGACATCTCATTGTTATAAGGAAATGACGTCGAACGAAATGATGTTATTTGAGGACTCGCTGTATTTAGTTAGGAGAAACACTAGTGAGAGGTGGGCTTGATTATGGCCAATTCACAATCAGAGGCCTCCACAGGATGCGATGGCTCAGTAACATTACCTATGCCCACAACTGGTTGATGGCAACGGAGACACCCGTCCATGAGGCCCAGAGCTCCTCCCCTCTAGGAATTTTCAGCTCACATAAAGAAGGGCAGAAAATAATAACACAAATAATTTCCAAAGCAACCTGCATATTTTGAGCAATAACATGAGAAATACTTTCTTCTATTCTCTCTTTCTTGGAGAGTTATCAGTCACTATAAAACACTGATTAAGAGCACAGGTTCTGAAGACAAGCTTCCTGAGTTGGAATCCCAGCTCCACTTTTTACTTGCTGTGTAACCTTCGGAAAGTTATTTCACCTTTCTGTGCCTTGGTCTTTTTTCATCTTAAAAGAAGATAATAATAGTGCCTACCCCTTAAGAGTTTTTGTGAGGCTAAAACAAGGTAACATGCAAAGCTCTTGGAACAGCCTGGCACATAATAAGCGACCAATGTACGATAGTTATCAGAACACATCACCCCCAACACCACATTGGGGTGGGAGAAGAGACATAGGGGGTGGGGAGGGACTTAGATGGGAGAAAAAAGTTGTATTTAAGGAGGGTATTGAAAAATCCTGAAGTAGGATCCACAAGTTCCAAGCAGCAGGAGCAACAGAGTCCCGCATAGGGAACTTCCCACCTGACAGGTATGCCAGGCACCATAGTAAGTGGAAAAGGCTAGAAACAGAGGCTGGGCCTCCGTGATAGTGGGTCATAGATGGCTCAATGAAGAGATGGGCCACTGGGAGCTACTAAAGGCAGTTGAGTAAGAGAACCACAGAATGGATCCTAGAACAGTCAGTGCACTTAATTATAGAGAGGACCACTTAAAGCTCTTGTGGGAGTTCAGGCAAAGGGTCATGAGGCCTGAACTAGGTAGAGAGAGCAAAAATGAAAAAACAGAGACAGAGTGAACCTTAGTGATTATCTAGGAAGCCACTACCCACCCAAACAGGTCATTTATAGAGACAGACTTCACGAAGCCTTCCTGACCCACCTGAGCAGGGCATTCCGCCATCCTGCATCGTATGAAGCATTCTTCATCATTGCCCTCATCACTTTCCCCTCTCATGCCCAGGGCCCCTCCCTAGCTGTGCTCTCAATGAAGGCAAAAGCCCATCTATACCAGGAGATAGTGAAAATATTTAACAACTGGGTGACACAGACACTAACCATCAGAAGAGTCCCAGAGGCCCTTAGAGTGCCTGCGGCTGGCAGGGGGTCGGGGGGGGGGGTGCCTTCTGCAGGAAGGACTGAATGTCCAGAAAGGGAGGTACACAAGGTGCCTAGGGCAGAGATTCTGCCAGCTGGCATGTAAGCATTTCCGTATTTCAACAACTGGCCACAGCAGTGCATACTGAGTGATTGATTATGCACTTGGATGAATGAGCCCCTAATAATAATATTGTCTGCCAGGCACTGTGCTAGTCACTTTGCAGGCCTTATTTATCATCCTTATAAAGTTCTAAAAGCACATGTCATTTTCTCCATTTACAGAAGAGGAAACTAGGACTCTGAAAGGTTAAGTAATTTCCCAAAGTCATACAATTGTAGGCGGAGAGGTGGGATTCAACTCCAAATCTATTTAACTCTAAAGTGTGAGGGTGGGGCTCTGAGGTTCAAACCTTGTTTCACCTCTTACTTGCCATGTGACTTTTGAAAAGTTATTTCACATCTAGGTGAAATGAGAAAACCATGTCCTAGTTTAATTATTTAACCTTTCTGTGCCTCTGTCACCTACTGTGTAAAATGGGAATAAGAAAAAATACCTACAGTGCTCAGTACAGTCTAGCAGCACACAAGCACTTTCTAAGTCTAGTTGTTGTTATTGTTATAGCAGTGCCTAGCTCAGTACTGAGCACATGGTAGGTACCCTGTCAGTGCTTGTTGAATTTTGAATGCGTTTTTCTACTACACCACATAATAGGTGCTCAATAAATGTCTGCTGCCTTGAGATTGAGCATGATCACTACTATTATTATCAGAATTTCCTCTAATCCTGAGATAGCAAAATGGTAACTTGAGAACTTATTTCTGCAGGGCCTGGGCTCTTATGATCAGCAAGCTTCACCTCCATTTCCCAAAAAAGGTGGGAAGATATATAACAAATTCTTCTAAGTTTTAGGAAGCAAGTAATTGAATTTGCTGTCATCAATCTTTGGGATTTTCTCAGTTAAAAAAAACAACCCACATGATGGGTAGCACTATGAGAAACATGAGGGCTATCAGAAAGACAGAAGCCCTGTTCTGGAAGAAGTGGCCAAGCATATCCAGTGGGTTTGTGCTGTCCGTCCACCCCCCATCTTCTCAGTTTGGCACGAGCAGATTAGCATGCTGAGTACTGGCCACAGCTGTTCCCACTCGGGCACTATCTGGCTCTGGCCTGGGAATTCCTCTCATACAGGGTCTGTCTGCCACTGCTGTTGACTTTATTTCTTGTTTGCTTGACTAATGAAGGCTAAGTGTTATTATCAGGTGATTACAGAGCTTATATGCCTTAAACTGAGTCTAGTCTGTATAAGAACAGTGCAAACTCACTATGGGTTATGCACACAATCTCTCTGTAAGAAGTGCCAATGAGTGAGAAGTGGGTGGGTGAAATAAAAATAAGTTCATTGAGGACAGAAAGAGACTTGACTTTGAGTGATGAGCGCAAAATGCAGTGTGCACATGATGTTTTATTGAGTTGTACACTTGATGACCTATATGGTTCTATTAATCAGTGTCACCCCAATAAATCAAATTTTAAAATCCTAAAAGTTTGATATTAAAAATAAATAAATAAATAAATTACCTGCACTGTGCCTGCCTTTCAATGTTAGGACTTTTGACATTTTCTTGGCCAAAGTTGCTTATGTGAGTGAATCATCATTTGTATGACATCCTGAATTCTTTTTTTAAAATATATTTTTATTGATTTCAGAGAGGAAGGGAGAGGGAGAGAGAGATAGAAACATCTATGATGAGAGAGAATCATTGATTGGCTGCCTCCTGCACACCCTCTACTGGGGATCAAACCCACAACTCGGGCATGTGCCCTGATGGGGAATCCATCCATGGCCTCCTAGTTCATAGGTTGATGCTTAACCACTGAGCCATGTTGGCCGGGTCTGAATTCTTTAGGTAAAAAGCTCTATAAAAGTACAATATTAGCACTTTATGTAAGTGATACTCCTCTTGCTCTTCTGAGAACAGACAAATCCACTCTTTAATCCAACTTTCTCTCTCTCACGATTCTGGCATATTTTATAGCCTTTTTTCTCTTGGTTGCTTAACTATAGTAGAATTTCTTTATCTCCAAATAGCATTTGACTAGGGGTGAGCACCAAAGCCTGTTGTCTTTCCTCACCCCCATTTCCTATTACAGCCCCATCCTTTTCTTGTCCTTAATTTCCTTTGGTTGTTTTTATGATCATCCTTGTTATACCTTGCTTTCTGTAATACTCCTAAGGAAAGCAAATCAATAAGTAGAGCACTCAAAACTCATTAAAATGAACCTAGTACCCTCTCAAGGCACAGAATGAGGAAACAGCACCATATAAAACCCATACTGCTCAATACAGTAGCCACCAGGCCAGTGTGGCCCATGCAACTGAGGAACCGAATTTTAAATTCCATTGAATTCTAACCTAAAAATTGAAACATGATCAATAAAACCCTTGTCCCCAAAACCAACTTTATCCTGTATAATAAAAGTCTAACATGCAAATCGACCAAATGGCGAACAACTGGTCACTATGATGTGCACTGACCACCAGGGGGAAAACGCTCAAAGCAAGAGCTGCCCTCAGCCTGCAGGCCCCAGGCCAGCCAAGGCGGGTGCCAACCGGGGGCCCCCTGATCACCCTGCTGGTCACCCCACAGATCAGCCCTGACCAATGGCCAGGCCTAAGGACCCTACCCTTGCATGAATTTCATGCACTGGGCCTCTAGTTGTGTCATATTTCTGAAGTTTGAAAATTTAGAGTGGAAGCTAAGTTGTAAAACACAGCATATTTCAGTCTCAGTACCA